CGGGCCCCGCGCGCACCGAGCTCCTGGAAATGGCGTGTGCGACTGCACAAAGTTGTCGACCGTCAGCCTGCACGCCGAGCTTGTCGCTGAGGTCCCGCACCCGGTCGTGCTCGTGCTTGCCGCCGCCGTTGGTCAGCAGGATGAACGGGATGTTGTTGTCCTGCAGGTACTTCGAGCGCCTCACGGGCGCCGGGGATGGGCTTGGCGACGTGGAGCAGCACGCCGTCGATGCTGCGGGCAGTCAGTCGGTCGTCTCCAAAAGGACCTCCTCCGATCGTTGTTGTCGAGGTGAGCGAGGGATGGGGTTCACCCACTCAAAGGCAAAGGCAAAGGATGGCGGCACAGCCGTGGTGCTGCTGGCCTGAGCACTCAGCCATCGCGGTCGTACCGCGGCGGCTGGCTGTTGTGAGCGGCTGAGAGATAGCAAGCCTGAAGACGACCCGTTGGCGTCTCGGCGACGGCGAAAGGCAGCATTGGATGCCCACCTTGATTGGGTTCGTAGCAAGCTCTGTGTCACCAAGGCAGCAGTGGATGCTGCTGGCACTGACAGTCTCGACGTCGCTCGCACTGACGCCCCGCCGAGGGCGCAGATGGAGGCCTTCATCGCAGGTTCCGGGCTTCTATTTGTTCAAGGAGCGGTGTATGGTGGTGATAACGATGGGGAGAGCTGCAACATGGGCGAGCTCAACTGAAGTCAGGTAGGTAGCTAAGCAGGTTCACAGAAGCCGAGCACCAAGGGGCCCCACTCGCTCGTGCTTTCACCCCGCGACCGAGAATTGGAGCTAGACGTTTCAAGCCTCAATGCCGCATCTTGTCACTCGAAACCACGCAATGCAAGACAAAGCGTCGGGCCCTATGCTGATCATCCTTTTGCATTCTACTGTAAATTCGGCCTTCCACTCCCCCTCGCTGTAGTGTACGAGCGACGGAGCGGGGTTTCGGGACATCTGCCCTGTCTCTGATCGCTCATCTTCCATAGTGTCCTAATTGTCTGCCAACGGCAGCTCGCCTACTGATACACATGCGGCTCGTACTCGTACAGCTTGACCTACTGTACCCATGCAACATTGAAAATGGGTTCACCGATACCCGTCTAGTTCTTCTCCCACGCGCCGGACCAGTCATTCATATGGTCGAGCATCAGCTTTGCGCCAGCAGACGGCGAGT